GAGAGAGAGAGAGAGAGAGAGAGAGAGAGAGAGCGACAAACAACAAAAAAGGAGGAGAGATATAAAGACGATAGTTGTTTGATAGGAAGGAAGGAGCAAACCATGCTAGAGCACCCACCAACCACCCACGCTGATGATTTGACTTACGGGCAGTACATGCAGGCTGCTGAAGAAAAAAGAGAATCGAAAGGTGGATGGTTGTTGGCAGGCACTCTGGTGAGTTTTTCTCCTTCTATCCTACCATCGAACATCTATGGTGTTCATCTCTTCCCCCTTTTTTGTTGTTGTATGTTTCTCTCAAGTATCTCCTCTGATCTTTGGCACTTACCTGACCTATTTGTCTTGCTAGTGCCGTAAAACGTTTACTAGAACTAAAACAGATTCGAAGCAGCACAAAGTCCAAAGTCACTGATTATTGTATAGCACGTGTTGAGGTTAGGTGGTTTATGGCAGTGAAGATTAAAAATTAGAGATTACAGTGTAAATAATTTCGGGGGGGGGGGACCCCGAAAGTTGGAATATTGGAGATAAACCGGGGTTTTTTTTTCCCACAAGCCGAGCCCTCCACTTGTCTCCCTGTGAAAGTGAAAACATTAAATTGGAAATATACCAAGTTTTTGATTAATGAAGGCAGCCCCTCTCAGCTCGGTGGGTACGATGTAATGTTTATGTTTATGAACGCTCACGCATGCTTGCGATAATATGACGAGGTCAATAACCGTATGACATCCACCCCTTGGCGCTCAAATGACCTTATCTTATGCAGTTGCGAGCGCCGTAAACACTTACTAAAAATAACTGTCTGCCTTTCTCACTCTTTCCTTGGCGACGAAATTACACCCCAAAAAGTCCCGATTCGGCTCAAAATTATGGATTTTGAGTTGTAGGTATTTTTAGCTTCTTCAGCCTCTCTTACAACTATTCCATCACATAAGAACCCCCTAAAGCCGTATTTCTTCCCATACCGGGTATGTTTGTTACCACCATCTCCTCATAAAGTCAATCTTTTATTTTTCTTTATCGCCCGTTTTCTCAAAACGCGGTTTTACTGAACACTTTTTAAAAATTGCTCCACCATTTTTCATCCAATCTTCATGAAATTTTCACAGAATGAAGAGATGTAATACTAAAACTTTTTCGGTTGAATTTTTGACATATGGAATAGATTATTGTTGGTGGTGTCTGGAGTGTGGTTTTCACTGATTTTTTTGCAAACTTGCTCTGTATTCTCGGGGTTGCGGAAAGGTGCAACAGAGAAATAATGACTGATTCTGTTGCTCCCCCCCTCCTTTCCCTCTTAAAACACGTCGACCACACACACACACACAGACATACTTACACACATACGCTCATACACACATTCACAGACATACATACACACACATACACACACACTCACATACACCCCCCACACACACACACGCACAAACACACATACACACAAACATACAAACACACATACACACAAACATACAAGCACACATACTCACACATACAAACACACTAAGGGAAATACAAACACACATACGCACACACGCACACACACTCACAAATATACATACACATACACACACAAACACACTTACACACATAAGCACAAACACACGCACTCAAACACATGCACTCACACAACAACAATAACAACAGCAACTACCATCAACATCAACAACGACCACCACCATCAACAACAACAACAGCAACAAAAAACCACCACCATCGACAGCAACAACAGCAACAACAACAACCATTAACAACAACAACAGCAGCAGCCATCAACAACAACAGCAACAACAACAGCAGCAGCAAAAGCAATAACAACAACAGCAACAACAACAGCAACAGCAGCAACAACAACAACAGCAACAACAACAACCATCAATCACAACAACCATTAACAACAATAGCAACAACGACCATCAACATCAACAATAACAACCACAACAACAATAACAACCATCAACAACCATAGTATCAGCAACAGCAACAATAACAACCATCATCAACAACAACAATAACAATAACTACAACCAACAACAGCCATCACAACAGCAAAGATAACACCCAGATCGGCAAGACCGTCTCAGTAATTACATGTACTGTCGTGGAAGTCTGTGGGAGGAAACGATCGATGAGTACATAATCCCCTCATGTGTATACATCTCTCTTTGGGTGGTTGGCGGGTGCTCTGGTGGGGTTTGCTTCTTCTTTCCTATCAAACATCTATCGTCCTTATCTCCCTTTGCCTCTTTTTTTTATTTTTGTTACTCTCTTGTAACACCTCTAATCCTCA